GCAAACCATGTATCTGACAAGAATCTGGAATCCAAAATATATATATATATGGAGTTATTATAGCTCAGTAATAAACAGACAACTCTGTTCAAAAATGGGCCTGAATAGACATTTTTCCAAAGAAGATAAACTGATGGCCCATGAGGACATGAAGAAGCATGTGTTAATTAACGTGAGGGAAATCTAAACTGAAAGCACAGTGAGGTACCTCCCCACACCCACTAGGACAGTCAGAAAGACAAACATAAAGGCAGGAAACGATGTGGAGAAGTTGAAGCCCTCACACACAGCTGGTGGGAATGTAAAATACCACAGCCATTTCGAAGAAGTCTCTAAAAAATAATACAGCCATTACCACGTAACTCAGCAATTCCATGCCTAGGTTTAAATGGATGGGAATGAAGATACGCTCACACAAAAACCCGTACACAAATGTTCATAGCAGCATTGTTCATAATAATAGGTTGGGGGTACAAGTGCCTATCAATTGATGTATGGATAAATGTGGTACATCCATCAATCAAATATTATTCAGCCATGAAAAGGAAAAAGTACTGACACAAACTACCAACATGCATGAACTCTGAAAATATTGAGCTAAATAAGCCAGACAGAGAAGGTCATATATTGCATGATTCCATTTATGTGGCAATAAGGAAAATTCATAGAGATGTAAACTTGATCAGTGTTAGGGGAAAATGAGAAACGGATTTCTTTTGGAGAATGGTAAAAAATTTCTAATTTGGCTGTAATGATGGATGGACATCTCTGTGGAAATACCAAAACCAGTAGAGTAAAATACTTTCAGTGGGTGATTACACGGCAAGTGAATTACATCCCAGTAAAGTTGAAACTTGTATTTCTGAGGAAAAAGCTCTGCCGGTGCACATTTCAACACTAGGTTTCAATGACAGGACAAATGTCATCAGTCGCATAAGCCCAGTGCCGTTGGGAAGCTCTCTCATGGACACTGCCACCAGACCCAGCATCTTCTCCTAGACATCAGCCAGTGGGGACCCTCTACATACATGTCATTCACTGGAAGGATTCATAAGATGCCAAAGGCTTCCTTTGATGATGGCAGTGACAACAATGATGATGATAATGGTGGTGGTAGTGAGGGTGGTGTGATGAAGATGATGATCATGATGGTGATAATAGTGATGTGATGGTGATGATGATAACGATGATGGTAGTGGTGGCGATATCATGAAGATGTAATGATGTGATGGTGGCAATGATGATGGTGATGTGATAATAATAGTGGTGATGATGATGGTGATATGATGAGGAGGAGGAGGAGGAGGATGAGGGTGATGATATGAAGAACATTATGGTGATATGATGATGGTGGTAATATGATAGTGGTAGTGATGGTGACGTGATGATGATGGTGATATGATGATGGTGATATGATGATGGTGGTAATATGATAGTGGTGGTGATGGTGACGTGATGATGATGGTGATATGATGATGGTGGTGATATGGTGGTGGTGATGGTGATGATGATGATGTAATGATGGTGATGATGATGAAGATGTGATGATGGTGATGATGGTGATAATGATAATGGTGGGGATGATGGTAATGATGATGGTGATGTGATGATGATAATGGTAATGTGATAATGATAGTGATGACAGTGATAGTAATATGATGATAGTGATGATGATAATAATGGTGATGATGGTGATGATGGTGACCATGATAACAATATGAAGATAATGATTATAGTGCTCTGCCACTGAGTTAAATCCTCATCCTCTTCCTTTGATTTCATAGATAAGCAAACTTGGGATTACTAAGAGGTTAAAAACTACTGCTGAGAGCAAGTTTATGGTGTAACTGGGATGGAGCCTAGAGCCTGTTCAGAACCCAACTCTTCCCACAAGGTGTTTACAGGTTTCTAGACCTTTCACACTGTCCTTCCAGCATGGTTGGCGACTAAACACCCCCCAGCTTTGGGACCCAGGTAAGGTCACCTGTGCATGGGACTGGAAAGGAACAGGTGGCCACAGTTTAAAACAAAAGAGAGAAGATGGAGTCAGGTTTGAGAAGGTAGCATAAGCCCCAGTTCCCGTAAGAGCAGGGACATAGAGCTGATACAGACTCAAGAGATGAGGCTTGAGATGCAACCCATGAGATATGGGGTCATATGCAGTCTGGAGTCTGTGGCTACTTGTTCCCATCACGTACTCACCTAGAGGTGTTAAGAACTGGCCCCCCACTTACCCACTTGTCCCCACCTCAGAACCAGTGTGACTTTTTGCCCCCAGAAAGTGACCCTGTGAGTCACTCCACCAATGGAAACCTCCCCACCCTAAGAGTGGAGGTGAAGTGGAGACCAGTCTCTCATCCCCCCAGATTTCTCAACAGTACCAGCTCCCTCAGGCCTGGGACAGAGCTGGGATATAGATGTGGACAGGAAGTAGACACCAGCTTTGACCATCTTTCCTCACTGCCCAGAGAGGAGGGAGACAGTCACATGGATTGAGACTGGGTGAAGGTCAAGTCCAGTTCTAAGCACTTCACCCCATCTTCATGACCCTCTCAGGATACAGTGTGCTTATCCACATTTTTGGATGAAGAATTGAAACACAGAGGAGCTAAAGCCTGCCAGGCCATGCAAGCTCAGGCAGCTCTCATCACCTCCTCCTGACTGCCTCACATCTCACACACACTGTGCAGAAGAAGAGAATGGTCAGCTGGCCTGCTGGTCCACACCAGAGTTCCCGTACTGAGGGACCACACCCCAGAAGCTCTGCCTGGCAGATGAGCCCCTGGCCCCCACATATGACTTCCTGAGGGCTGTCACAGACCGGATGAGGTGATGTGACAACAGGGTGGATGCTGGTGGGGACCTGTGACCACAGTTTGGGGGCAGGGAAGGAAGTAGTAGTGATGTGACGGTGACCAGGGTAGGCCCGCCTGGGGGTGACAGCATCATTTCAAAAGTCTCCGGTGACAGTGAAGGTGTCCCTGCACTTCAGCTTCTCTGTGGGACTCCAGGTAGGGAGGAGGCAGAGTGGGACAGGGAGGTTGGGAGCCCTTGAACAAGAGGGAGGCAGAGCCTGAAGGAGCCAGAAGTGGTAGGACAGTAAGACAAGAGCCCTGGTACTCTGTCAGCTTTGGCCCTCATCACTAATCCATTCCTCAGCCTCATGCCCACTGTGGGGCGCATATGTAAATGAAGACATTAGTGTCCACAGTCTCAAAGGCTGCTTCAGGTTCTGACAGAGAGTTCTAGAAAGATGTTAATAGGCAAAGTATGGAGAACACCCATAATTCCCAGCACTGGAAAGGCTGAGGCAGGAGTTCCAGGCCAGCCTAGACAGGAGAGCAGGCAGCGGGTGGCACGGATGGAGGAGGGACCGAGGCACAGATGGAATTCTCAGTGGGATACAGATTTATTTCGCACGGGGCACCTTTCCCTTGGGGAAGGGAAAGATGTCTGCGGAGGGGGGGAGAGGAGGGAAGGGAAGAGAAGGGAAGGGAAGGAGGGGACGGGAAGGGAGGGGAGGGAAGGGGATGATTAAAAACCCAGAAACAGATTCTCTGACAACAGGAAGAATGCCAGAAGGGGACTGAGTTCCATGGGTCAAGGTCAAGAGTGTGCTGGGCACCTAAGCAGGATGATGTGAGAGCCTTGGAAGGGTTCCGCTTCTCTTGCTTACTGCTTAGATTCCACCTCCAAGTCACTGCTTTGGCTGGAGCTCGGAGGACTCCAGGTAGGTGTGGGAGACACTCCTGACCACCTGGTTCCCTCATCTAAGATCCTGCTATGTATGGCAGGCTGAGGAGGGAAAAGGTCTCTGAGGAGCCATTTGAAAGGAGATAGAGAAGATATTTAAGGAGATTCAAAAGCAAACCCAGGGGAGGCCCTGAGCCACCTCAAAGCAAAGAACCTTCTACTGGATTGTTGCCCCAGAGTAGGCAATAGGTTGGTGCCTGTGCCTGCTGGAAGTCTTCGGAGCTTGGCAGGGAATACCAGACAGGAGACCTGAGAAGCAGGAGGGTCTCAGAAAGGCACATTTAAAGGTTTCTCCACAAGAGCCAAGGGTATGGGCACAAGGCAGCCTTTGTTCATTGTAGAGTTGGGGCTGGTGTTCTTTCAGGAGGCTCAGAGAAGCCTCATAGGGAGTCAGGGAAAAGAAGAGCACATGGGAGCTCATTGCCTTCCCAGATCTGTAAGGGAAAGACAGAAGCCAGCAAGGGGCTAGAGACAGGGAGACAGTAAGAACTAGCTAGGAGCCACAGGCCCCAGGATCACAGCTTTTAATAGGATCACAAGTTCAAGACCAGCCTGAGCTATACAGTGACTTCATGGCCATCCTGAGCAATTTAATGACACCTTGACTCAAAAAAAAAAAAAAGAGAGAGAGAGAGAGAGTTGGGGATGTAGGTCAGTGGTAGAGCACTTGCCCAGCATGCATGAGACCCTGGGTTCCATCCCTGGGATGGGGGAAGAGGAATCAGATAGGAAAGGGTGACCAGTTCCGGGGCCAAAATGACCCTTTTCCAGAACCTAAACCTGAACAGTCTGTCCCCTCTTCTGTGGTCCAAGCCTTCTCATCATGAGCAACAGGCTTTTATTGTTGTCTGTTTTTTGTTTTGGTCTTTTAGAGACAGGATCTCTCTGTAGCCCCAGCTGGCCTGGAACTCGCTATGTAGAGCAGGCTGACCTTGATCTCACAGAGACCTGCCTGCCTCTGCTTCCCAAGTGCTGGGATTAAAGGCGTGTACCACCAAGCCTAGCTACCATTAGCAGTTTTGTCTGGGCACAGAATCATCAATCTTGATTCCTACTAGGCCTTAGTGAAATCCTAGCATGGGACTCCTCCTGACTGAGTGACTCTGGGATACAAATTTAACCTCTCTGAGCTCTGCAAAATGTAAGGGGTGGACCAAGTCTATAAAGGCCAGTTATTTATTATGGGCATTCAATAATTAAAGAAAATCTTGATCCCTCTCCTGACAGTCCACAGCATCCTTCATCCCTGTGCACACAGCCTCCCAGAGCTCACGGCTCTGGCACCCACAGCTCCATGGCCATGCACCTGCTCCTCCTGGGCCTTCTCCTACTGCCCCCACCTGTCCCTGCCCCCTGCTACACTGCTGCTCGCTCAGAGTGCAAAAACAAACACAAGTTCGTGCCTGGCGCATGGCTGGCTGGGGAGGGTGTGGACGTGACCAACCTCCGTCGCTCTGGCTCCTTCCCAGTGGACACAGAGAAGTTCCTTCGGCCCGACAACACCTGCACCCTCTGTAAAAATGCCCTGCAGAAGGATGCTCTGCAGCTCCTGCCCCTGGCAATCACCCACTGGAGGGCCCAGGGCTCTGGCTGCCAGCGTCACGTGGCCAAAGCCAAGGTCAGCTCCACAGAGGACGCAGCCAGGGAGGCAGCTTCCAAAATCACTAATGACTGGCGAGCGGGGCTAGATGTCAATCCCAGGCCCGAAATCAACGTACAAGTGTCTGTGGCTGGCTCCCACTCTGAGATGGCCAACTTTGCAGCCCAGAAGACCTACCAAGACCAGTACAGCTTTAGCACTGACACGGTGGAGTGTCGCCTGTACAGGTGAGAGATGGAGAGATGGGGAGTGGAGCCGGGATAGGAGCTGGAAGTTTGGAGGGGTCTAAGATCCCTGGAATGGCATGGTAGGGTTTATAGACTGCTTCCCAAGAGGACACCACAATCCTGCTTGATTTCTGTTGGTGGGATGAAATGCTCTCACCAAAAAGCAACTGGGGGGAATAAAAGGTTTCTTTTAGTTTGCAATTCCAGAATACAGTCTATTATTGCAGGGAAGTGAAGACAGCAGAAACTTGAAACAGCGAGTCACATCGCATCCACAGTCAAGAGTGGAGAGAAATGAAAGCTGTGTGCTTAGTGCTCAGCTCACTTTTTCTACTGTCCAGGGACCAAAACCAGGAAATGGTGCCCCCACTTTCAAGCTGGGTCTTCCCAGATCAATTAAGCAGTCAAGACAACTGCCCCCACTCCCAGACACACTCACGGGCCAACCTGACCTGGGAAATCCCTCATTGAGACTTTCTTCCCAGGTGATTTTAGGTTGTATCAAGTTGACAATTAAAAATAATGGTCACAGGGCTGGAGAGATGGCTCAGTAGTTAAGAGCACTGGCTGCTCTTGCAGAGGACGCAGGTTCAGTTCCCAGCATGTTGGCTAACAACTGTCCTTAGCTCCAGTTCCAGGGGAATCCGACCCTCTTCTGACCTCCGTGGGCACTGCATGACATGGGTATATTTACATACATGTGGGAAATACACTCATACACATAAAATAAAAATACCAAATTATTTTTTCTTAAAGAAATCTATTTCATTGATCACACTGGTCCTCAGACACCAGGTCCTGCAACTCTGGGGGATCCAGTGAGAGATCAGAAAGGGGATATGGGAGCAAGATTATGTGAGAGCCCCACTTGGTGATATTTAGGTTCAGGCAGTGAGCACCTAAGTTCTCTTTCATTGCTAACCTCTTACGGTGTCTTTCCAGATAGGGACAGAGACAGGAGACTTAGCTGGGTCTCTCCTCACTGTGCAGCCACCAGGCATCTTTATGTCGCCTGCTCTGATTTCTCAGTCATTTAAAAATATTTTACTACATTCATTAATTTAATTGTTTTGTGTGTGCATACACATGAGCATGTGCTATAGCAAGTGTGTGTTAACAGTGAGTGTGTGGAGGCAGATGACAACTTGCAGGAGTCTCTGCTTCCACCTTGTGGATTCTAGGGATCAAACTCAGGTTGTCAGACTTAGCAGCAAACAGTACCCACTAAACCATCTTGTTGCCTCCCCTCATTTCATTCTTTTTTTTTTTTTTTTTTTGGTCTTTTTGAGACAGGGTTTCCCTGTAGCCCCAACTGGCCTGGAACTCACTATGTAGACCAGGTTGGCCTCAAACTCAGAGATCTGTCTGCCGCTGCCTCTCAAGTGCTGGGAATAAAGGTGTGCACCATCACACCAGGAGCTTAAGATTTTTGACGGTATATATAAATTCTAGATAATAATGAATTTCACTATGACATTTTCATATATGTATATAATATAGTTTGATCATTTCACCCCCATTTCCCTTTCTTATTCTCTCAACTCCTGCTGATCCCCTTCCCATTCCCAACTATCCCCTTCTACTGTGTGCATGTGTGTACGAGAGAGAGAGAGAGAGAGAGAGAGAGAGAGAGAGAGAGAATAGACAAGGGGTTGTTTACAGGAGCATCAGTACCTTACCACCTTACCACTGAAGAAAGTGTCTCTCCCTTGCCAGTAACCACTAACTACCTGTATATCCTCAGGAAGAAGTGAAGCCTCGTGAGCCCCTCTCTCATTTCTCAGGCTTGGAAACCACCTTCCTCTACTGTGAAACTGGATGTTTCCTGCCTACTAAGCCATGGTGGTCAGAAACTCAAGCACACTGGCCCACTCCGGGGGAACAGATGGCTGAAGGCCATATGACTAGGTTCTCAAGCTAGGGAGATGTCATCAGTGTCTACCATTGCTTTACAATTTAGCTGGGCATGGTGGCACATGCCTCAGGAGTCAGAGGTAGGGGGATCTGTGGGATTGAGGCCAGCCTGATCTACATATCAAGTTCCAGGCCAGCTGGGGCTACAGAGAAACCTGTCTCAAAAAAACCAAAAAATAAATAAATAAAATAAAATAAAATAAATTTAAAAAGAAAACAGAGAGAAAAGAAATTTTTAAACTTTACTTTGAAGAAGAACAACTGTAAAAAGTCCCCAGGTCCCCCAGAGAGTGACAGAGGAAGTCTCCCTCGCCAGTCCTGGGACCCAGAGCGTGAACCATACAGCCAGGTACCAAGTTCAAGTCCTGGTTCCATCACTTATATATGACCTTGGGTGATCTTGAAGGTGCTATTTAATCAAAAATATACCACCTACCACTGGGATTACCTAATGCTCCTCTCTCCCCACAGTTTTCATCTGGTTCAAAAACCTCTACTGCATCCCGAGTTCAAGAGGGCACTCAAGAGCCTTCCCCCATACTTCAACACCTCCACAGAGTCCGCTTACCGCAGGCTCATCTCCTCCTACGGCACCCACTTTATTACAGCTGTGGAACTGGGCGGCCGCATCACGGCGCTTACAGCACTGCGTACCTGCCAACTGGCCCTGGATGGACTCACGGCTGATGAAGTGGAGGACTGCCTGACGGTAGAGGCCCAGGTCAGCATTGTTGGCCATGCTAGCTCCTCAAGTGAACTCAAGGCCTGTGAAGAGAAGAAGAAACAACACAAGATGACAACTTCCTTCCACCAGGCCTACCACGAGCGCCACGCTGAAGTGGTTGGCGGCCACCACACCTCAATGCATGACCTGATGTTTGGGAATCAGGCTGGGCCCGAGCAGTTTTCAGCTTGGGTAGCTTCACTGTCCGGCAGCCCTGGACTGGTGGACTACAGCCTGGAACCACTGCACGTGCTGCTGGAAGACCTGGACCCACGGAAAGAGGCACTGAGGGAGGCTGTCAGCCAGTATGTGATGAGCAGGGCACGCTGGCGAGACTGTCGCCGGCCCTGCCAACCAGGCCAGCACAAGAATACCCACGACCCATGCCAGTGCATGTGCCACGATTCAAGGGTCACCAACAAGGACTGCTGTCCACGCCAGAGGGGCCTGGCCCACCTGGAAGTGACCATCGTCCAGGCATGGGGTCTGTGGGGAGACTGGATCACAGCTACAGATGCCTATGTGAAGGTCTTCTTTGGTGGCCAGGAGTTGAGAACCAGCACAGTGTGGAACAATAACAGCCCCAAGTGGGCAGCCAGGCTGGACTTTGGGGAAGTGCTCCTGGCTTCGGGGGGACCACTGAGGGTGCAGGTCTGGGATGCAGACTACGGCTGGGATGATGACCTGCTGGGTTCTTGTGACAGGTCTCCAAAGTCTGGCTCCCATGAGGAGACCTGCCACTTTAACCATGGCCATCTAAAATTCCTCTATCATGCCAGGTGTTTAACCCACCTGACTGGCGGGACCTGCCTGGAGTATGCCCCCCAAGGGCTTCTGGGAGAGCCTCCAGGAAACCGCAGCGGGGCTGTGTGGTAAGAGCAGTGGGCACTTGAGTCCTGGGGAGCCACAATCCTCACAAAGTCCCATTTTATACAGTAGAGACTGAAGCTTGGACTTCCTACTGAGGTGGCTGAGTTGATGTAATAGAACATCCCTGTGCCTGAAAGTTACTGCTGCATAGGGGAGACCTTGGCCAGGCACACAGCAGAAGACTGGGAAGCTGTCCCCACCCTGCTTTAAGACCCTCCCTCTCTAGCATAGCATGTTTGTCTATTCGAACCAATCCCATGCCCCCATGCTGCTCCTGACAAATCAAGGCCTATGTTACCATGCACACAGCTTGACAGAGGGCCAATGAATGGGATGTGGTGTTGAGCATGACGGTGTATGGTGGCAAATGAGAGGATGAGGACAAAATATGCCCCCTAGAGATGGACTTCTATGTCCAGCAACCAAGTTTTATAAAATGAATAGTCAGGTTATGTATACAAGCTGTTTTGTCCACTTTTGCTGGTAACACGGGGCCCCGAATATCTTATACTCTTCCAAAATACTCTCTGACTCAAGAAACAGCAGCATAAACTTGGTGACAAATAACAATAGGCATTCCATTTCTGACTGGAGGACAATGGGGGTGGGTAGTGAGACCTGTGGTGAGCTGAGAAGCACATGTGTTATCTAAGGGGGTACCAGCCTTAAGTGGCTGCAGCGCCACTCCGGGAATGTGAGCTCTGTGCTCATACTGTGTGTGTGTGTGTGTAAAAGCATGTCACAGCATAGGCGTAGAGGGCAGAGGACAAACCTGCATAAGGCTGCTCTCTCCTCCCACCAAGTGGGTTCTGGGAATAGAACTCAGGTCAAACTTAGTCATCCGGCTTGGCAGCAAGCTCATTTACCTGCTGAGTCATCTCAGAAGCCCCTTTTCATTCCTTTTTTAAAATTTTTTATTTTATGTGTTTAAGTGTCTTGCCAGCATGTATGTAAGAGCACCCGTGTCATGCAATGCCCGAAGAGGTCAGAAGAGGGCGTCAGATACCCTAAAACTGTAGTCACAGATGGTTGTTAGCTGCCATGTGGGTGCTGAGAACTGAACCTGGGTCCTCTGCAAGAGCAGCCATTGCTCTTAACTGCTGAGCCATCTCTCTATCACCCACTTCTCCTTAAAGCGCTCAGAAGGCCCAACTCAGCTTTCAACACAGTATAAGATAAAGAGACCATTCGTGCATGTAGGCTGCCCCTGGTTTAGGGCTATCCATCTGGAAAACTCAGCTTCCAAGAAAACTGATTTGCATGGGGTGGAAAACTCTCCTGTTTCACAATTTGGGGGCAAATCATGGTCCCATCAGGGTGGTCACTGGCAGGCTCCTAGTGCCAGGCTCTGATAGCAAATCATGTCTTTGTTTCATGTGCCCAGGACAGGCATGGGCCAATGGAGTGGGGACAAGATTCATGGTAGCATCTTGGCTGTGACAGGACTTGGCTATGCAGGGCTACTTGTGTTCAGAGGAGCTCAGAGAAGGTGCCCGGACCCTGACCGGGTTTGAAACCCCTAATACAATAAACTGTGAGGCTTGTGTAGAACCCAGAGGCTCAAAGTCCAAGCAGGGACATTGCAACAACCTCAAATCCCCAGCAGGCAAGGGATTAGAAGGCACTAGAAGCCTAGTAGAAACCACTGTTCTCACATTTCTGGTCTCAGCCATACACAACAAGCACAGGAGACCTTGACATGTGGTGCTGTCTGTGGCTCTAAGTGAAAATAAACATGGTTGTGAGCCACCCCTCCCCACCCCGAGAAAGCAGATCTGCAGGACCAAGGCGGCCTTCATGTTTTGTCACTAGGCCTCCATGTCTTCCACTGGACAATCTTTGTTTTCTCCTTTCTCAGGACTGTTTGAAAATAGTCACCAGCCTTTCTTTTTTAAATTTATTTTTATTTTATGTGTATGAGTGTTCTGCCTGCATGTATGTATGTGTACCACATGTATGTAGTGACCATGGGTGCCAGAAGAGGGCATTGGATCCTCTTGAACTGGAGTTACAGATGGTTGTGAGCTGCCATGTGGGTACTGGGAACTGAACCCAGGTCTTCTGCAAGAACAGCAGCAAGAGCCACTCTCTCCCGCCCGGGGCCACTCCTATTTATGGAACTGCATCCACTAGCAAGTACTGGTACTGACCAAGCATAAATTTGATGAATGAATCTGATGATGGGTGAGATGGGCAGATGAAGATCCAGTGGATGAATGAATGTTACCAAAAAATCTCCTGGCCTCTGCTGGGACTCTCACAGAGACAGAGTCCAGTTTCTACTCAGGTAACTGGTATGCATGTGTGAGTGCTTCCAACCCTGAGTCCTCTTAGCTCAGAAACCCACCTCCTTATTCTGGATGCAGTGGTACACATCTGCAATCCCAACACTTGGTTGATGGACACAGGAGGATCAGGAGTTCAAGATCATCCTCAGTAACATAAGCTGGCAGCCAACCTGGGCTGCATGAGACTATCTCAATAACCAAACCAGAGGCTGGAGGGATGGCTCAGTGGTTAAGAGCACTGACTGCTCTTGCAGAAGACTCAGATTCAAATCCCAGCACCCACGTGGCAGCTAACAACTGTCTGTAACTCCAGTTCCAGGGGATCTGATGCCCTCTTAGAGCCTCCACAGGCACTGCACAAGTGCACTTACATGCAGGCAAAACATTCATACACATAAAAAAATAAAGTTTAAAAACAAACAGGGACTAGAGAGATGGCTCAACAGTTAAGAACACTGGTTGTTCTTG